AGCTGATGGTTTGTCTCCAGTGGACACGGTGGAGCTGATGGTTTGTCTCCAGTGGACACGGTGGAGCTGATGGTTTGTCTCCAGTGGACACGGTGGAGCTGATGGTTTGTCTCCAGTGGACACGGTGGAGCTGATGGTTTATCTACGAAACAAACTAAGTAAAGATATACTAACTATGGATGGCATCATTTGGCCTCCAGTGAGACTGTAAGGAATCTTGGTGTTATATTTGATCAGGATTTATCCTTTAACGCCCACATAAAATCAATTTCAAGGACCGCCTACTTCCATCTACGTAACATTGCAAAAATCAGGCATATCTTGCCTCAAAACGATGCAGAGAAACTAGTCCATGCATTTGTTACTTCAAGGCTGGATTATTGTAACTCTTTATTATCAGGGTGTACCAAGAAGTCAGTCAAGTGGCTTCAGCTGATTCAAAATGCTGCAGCTCGTGTACTAACCAGAGTTAGGAAAAGGGACCACATTACTCCTGTTCTGGCTGCCTTACACTGGCTCCCTATAGAACACAGGATAGAATTTAAAATTCTTCTTCTCACCTACAAAGCCCTTAATGGGCAGGCGCCATCTTACCTTAAAGAACTCATTATACCCTACTGTCCTACTAGGGCATTGCGTTCCAAGAATGCAGGGTTGTTGGTTGTTCCTAGAGTCTCTAAAAGTACAATGGGAGCCAGAGCCTTTTCTTATCAAGCTCCACATTTGTGGAATCAGCTTCCAGTTTGTGTTCGGGCGGCAGACACCCTATCCGTTTTTAAGAGTGCGCTTAAGACCTTCCTTTTTGACAAAGCTTATCGTTAGGGCTGATTAGATTCAGCCCCAAGTTTTGCTGATATAGTTTGTCGGGGGGACATCTTACTTCTCCCTTCTCTCTGTCTATACCTGTGTACTCTCATGTTCCGATTAACCCAGCTTCCCCAGATGTCTTTCTTTTTGGTGTCTGTATACGCCGGGATCCGGAGTCATGGATGATCCTGCGCTCCTCTGTCCTGGATCGCGAGCCCTGGATCGCGAGTCGTGGCTGTGGTCCTGGATCATAGGTCCTGGATGGATATCCTCGTGGATTCATCTTCCTATTATACACACATGCATATCCAAACATTTGGACTACCTATGTTGCAAATGTATTATCTTTCAATTTACACACGGCATCTATTGCACGTCTGTCCGTCCTGGGAGAGGGATCCCTCCTCTGTTGCTCTCCCTGAGGTTTCTCCCATGTTCCCTTTAAACTGTGGGTTTTCTCCGGAAGTTTTTCCTTGTACGATGTGAGGGTCTAAGGACAGAGGGTCTAAGGACAGAGGATCTGAGGACAGAGGGTCTGAGGACAGAGGGTCTAAGGACAGAGGGTCTGAGGACAGAGGGTCTGAGGACAGAGGGTCTAAGGACAGAGGGTCTGAGGATAGAGGGTCTGAGGACAGAGGGTCTAAGGACAGAGGGTCTAAGGACAGAGGGTCTAAGGACAGAGGGTGTCGTATTGTCATACTGATATTCTGTACACACTGTGAAGTCCACTGAGACAAATGTAACATCTGTGATATTGGGCTATGAATAAACATTGATTGATTGTTTCCAGTGGACACGGTGTTTTGTCGACACGTCACCACGGCGCTCCCTCACAGTCAGGAAGTCAGCTTGGACAGACAGGAAGTGACCCGGGCTCTGAACAGGATGTTCCATAGTGTGGGACAGGACGTGCCGGGTCATGCGGCTCTGGAGGAAACGTGCAGCCTGATGTTCGGGATCAACGACCGGTCTGTGAATAACATCATTTATTATCTTTTATATCTTATATTATCTTAATTATTTATTTATTATTTATATTTATTATTATTTATGTTTTATGTATTTATTATTATATGATGTGTTCAGGAGCGGCTCTGGATTTATTTCCTCTGCGTCTCTTCAGACGTCTCTGATCGCACTGTCAGCAGAAACGCTGCACAGGAAGTACACAGGTGAGGCTCCTTCACAATAAAAGCCTGGTGTTGTCAGTAGAACAGTGTGTCTCCTTCACAATAAGAGCCTAGTATTGTGCCCTTCACAATAAAAGCCTCTGTGTGCAGCTCTGATTGGTGTAGCAGTGCAGTGTGGCTCCGCCTCCATCAGCCGCTCCGGTCTACGGGCTTTGCTTCAGGATCTGAGCCAGGTAACAATGGACTACATTTCCCAGCATGCCCTCTGCTCCTCTCACCCTGTGATGTGTTCAGGTTCCCGCGGCGCTGCAGGAGGACGGAGCGTTCGGGCAAGTGGAGGCGGCGGTGAGCTCTTGTTTTGAAGGGGTGAGAACAGGAAGCAGACAGCTGATTGGAGGTCGTCATGGTGACACGGCCAGCGGAGAACACGTGTTGTCATGGCTACGGGGCGAGCCGCCGCTGTTGCGATGGTTGCCCACTCTGTACCGCCTGTCCGTCAGTCAGGATGTCCGTCACGACGTGCGCTGCCACACCTGTAAGACCCGCCCCTTCACCGGCCTCAGGTGAGCCAATCAGAACGCTTGATTTAATGTAAGCCAATCAGATCAGTTGTTTACTGTGAGCCAATCAGAACGCTTAATTTACTGTCAGCCAATCAGAACACTTAGTTTACTCTGAGCCAATCAGAATGAATGTTTTTTTTTGTAATATTTTGTTTACAATTTTCAGGTTTATGCAACAATTAAACATGAAAAAAAAAACATGTAGCATCAAAACGCAAAGCCTCCCCCCCTCCCCCCACAATAACAAAACAAAGACAAACAAAAGTCAGTGTGTAAAACACAACGAGATACTACACACACACAGTGCTACTGTAGATCCAGAGGCCTGTTGGTTCATCAGATGATATACCTGGTGGCGTCAGTGATGCATCTATAGACTCTAAATGAGGCTGCCAGATCTTCAGAAAGGTGTTATATCCTTTTCTAAGACTATTTGTGACCTTTGGAATACAACTGATCATTTCTAAAGACCATCTATCAATGAGGAGAGGAGAGTCAGATGTCCATATAGTGTTATACATTTCCGAGCCACACATAAAGCAATTTCCATCCATTTCATTTGGGATTTAGTTCATTTCATTTCAAACCTTTATTTATCCAGATAAATCCCATTGAGATCATTGATCTCTTTTTCAAGGCAGACCTGCTCAAGTAGTTCCACATGAAACATAACAACATAAATAGAACAACAAAAGGACATCATACAGCATCATTTACATAATGATCCACATAAACAGGTACCAACAGCTTCCGATTGAGTTGCATCCAATCAAGCTTTAAAAACATTTAGTGGCACCAGATTGTTCAGTTTCCATTTAATTTGCAGACTATTCCAAGACAGAGGAGCTGCGCATCTAAAAGCTGTCTTCCCTAAGACAGTCCTAGCAGTTGGCACATTTAATAAAACCACAGCATGCGATCTCAGGCAGTAGCCACTTACACTTCACCCTGAGATCAGGGAGCAGATATGAGATGGAAGTTTCCCTAACATGGCTTTGTATATAAAGATGTACCAGTGACTGAGCCTCCGTACAGTTAGTGAAAGCAAACCAGCCCTTGCATACAGGGTGCAGTGATGGGTTAATGCTTTACAGTGTGTCACAAATCTCAGTGCGCTGTGATACGCAGCATCTAACTTGACCAGGCAATGGGCAGGTGCATTCATATACATCAGATCACCAGAGTCCAGCACAGGTCAAAGGTCACAGAGCCTTTTCCTGGCCTCAAGCGAGAAACAGGACTTGTTCCTGTAGAAGAAACCTAGCCTAACCCTCAGCTTTTTAAGCAGGTTATTGACATGAAGTTTAAAAGTGAGACAATCATCAAGCCAGATACCAAAGTATTTGTAAAAGGTAACCACTTTGAGTTTTATTCCTTGCGTAGTTACAATATCTCAAACAGGCTCTGGTGTCTTTTTAGCTTTAGAAAGAGCATTAGCTTGGTTTTATCAACATTTAAAAGAAGCTTTAGTTCAGAGAGCTGAGTCTGAATAATGTTAAAAACAGCCTGTAATTTAACACCAGCCTCCTGAATGGAGGGACCTGCACAGAACATCACGGTATCATCCGCATACAAATGTAAAGTAGCTTCATCCACATTTTCACCTAAACTGTTGATATGGAGAATAAAAGGGGACCTGAAACAGAACCTTGAGGAACACCATTAGCAATGTTTAACCACTCAGAAGACAGCCCATCAAAGTGAACACATTGGGACCTTTCAGAGAGGTAGTTCACAAACCACCCACTGCATGGCTGGATATGCCGATACTGAGTAGCCTCTGCTTTAAGATGTGATGATCGACGGTATCAAACGCTTTGGACAGGTCAATAAATAGAGCTGCACAGCTCTGCTTATTATCTAAAATACTCGTAATATCATTCAGCACTTTCATTGTGGCAGTGATGGTGCTGTGTTGCTTTCTGAAGCCTGACTGATGTTTAGACAGGATGTCATTGTTACATAAAAACACCTTTACCTGTTCACTCACTAGGCGTTCAAGAACCTTAGCCAGAACTAAAAATAAGACCATGCAGTTTCTACATCAGCACACAGATCGATTTTTCCCCAATCAAACCCAAACAGATCATGAACAAAACCCTGCTCCACAAAATGTTTTATGTCTCTTAATGATAATGCGAGGTTTAACCTTTTGGACCTTAGTGTCCCTAATTGTGGCTACAACACAGTGATCACTCAGATCATTCGCAAATACTCCCACAGATGAATATTTATAGGGAACATTAGTTAGAATGAGATCAATTAGGGAGGATTTATTTGGGGACTTAATGTTAGGGCGAGTAGGACTGTCAACAATCTGAGTAACATTCAAAGAGATACAAAGGTTTTTAAAATCCTCTGACACTGCAGTTAACCAGTCCCAGTTACAATCTCCAAGTAGCACTATTTCCTTGTAGTCTAGTTGTGATAAAAGATTAGCTAGTGAAGACAAGGAGTCTTTGACAGCTGAGGGGGGTCTGTAACAACTCACCACCATGACCTGTTGACCCTTTGCCACTTCTATATTTAAGGCTAAAAATTAATATTGCTTACTGATCGATTTGGAAACTAATGTGGTTACACTGAACTTATTCTTAACATAAATGGCAACGCCACCACCTTTATTAGGCCGGTCGGTACGATACACATTAAAACCATTTAAGGCAATGTCAGAGGCCAAAATAGATTTGTTTAGCCATGTTTCTGATAAAACAATGACGTCAGCGCCAGTCGAGCCCAGATACGGACAAAATCTAATTTACCTAACAGACTGCGCACATTCAAGTGGATGAAACCCAACCCAGACCTAGCTTTAAAATCAGCAGGAGTAGCGATCTGACTACTACTACTGGGCGGACCAGGGTTAGGTTGTACATTTCCTGACAGTAATAACAACAACAAAACCAGGCATCTTTTCCTCTTAGGCGACACACATACATTGTCATCTACTTTAGAAACACCGGAAAAGTCTGCGAGAGTGTGATTAGAGCTTAAGAAGCAGTCCTGAAGAACCATCATCGCAGGAAAATAAAAAAGACAAACATATTTTGTCGAGCAGATTGTCTGTGCCAAGGCAACCGGTAATTGTTTGAGCAACACATCCGAACCTTTGCAGGGGATGCCCACTGCGGGTGGCAGAACAGACCTGAATCCAGTAGACTCCTCAGAATGACTAGAGATCTTCTCACAGTCCAAAACAGTTAACAGGCACAGCAGAATCCCGATATGGGCTATTTCCCCAGACCAGCACACAGTATCCGCGATGTTCCTGGAGCAAAATCAGCACAGCAGCAAAGGACAGGCGAAAACAGCAGCGTGGAAGCGCTCCGGTCCCTCCGTGGTATCCCCGGGGTGAAAGCAGGCCTCTGCAACAGCAGAACCAGGACAGGTGGAAAGCAGGCCCCAGCGGTGGTAAAATCCTCCTCCGCACAGCAGCACACGCCCGGTGGAAGCAGGCCAAGCCCGAAGCGTGGATCCACTCCGTCTCTCCGCGACAACTCCAGGGTAAAAACCTCTCCAGTACAGCCGTACTCTACAGGTGGGAGCAGGCCTCCGTAGATCGCAGATCGCAGGCAGCAACAGGTGGAGCCGCTCTGTCTCTTCGCGACGAGCAGGCCTCCGTAAATCGCAGATCGCATGCAGCAACAGGTGGAGCCGCTCCGTCTCTTCGCGACGTCTCCGGAGGAAAAACACCTCAGTACAGCCGCACTCGACAGGTGAGAGTAGGCCTCGGCAGATCGCAGACAACTAAAACTACTACTTGTATAAGCAGGGATGGCTAAAAGTTTGTAAGCAGGAGAGCTAGATGCTGCTATATGCTAACAGATGCTAACAGGTAGTGCAAGCCTGTAGAAATTGCGACTGCCTCCAATGACAGCGTAGGATCGACTATTTAGTTTTAGTTGAAGATCTATTGAGACTTGTGAAATCACCCAGTAAGCAAAGCTCAGGATCTAAAGGGAAGGTAGATCCTGTGATCTTGGTCAAGGTGTCACACAAATCGTACCAAAAGCACCTCACTTTTGTGCAAAGCCAGGTGCCGTGTAGGAAGGATCCGACCTCGATACCACACCTGAAGCACATCTCTGACAGCTCAGGCTTGGATCTATGTAGTTTCTGTGGGGTGAGGTACAGTTGATGGAGGACATTATAGTGAAACAGTATGTACCTGGCATTAATAGTAGCTGACAAACTGTCTTTACATAAATCTGACCAGAGCTCTTCATCAATTGCTACATCCAGATCTGACTCCCATCTCGCTCTAGATTTGTGTAAACCTGGCTTTGGGCCCTCATTCAGCAGTAAAGAGTACATTTTAGAAATGCCTTTGTATACATTTCCCTCATGAAGCAGTTTATCCACATCAGTCAACACAGGTGACGTCATCCCAGGGCCCAGGTTGGCTCTAAGAAAGGATCTGAACTGAAAATAGCAGAAGAAGGTCTTATTTCCTCTTATTGTTTGAAGGACATGAGGAGTCTTTTTTCGTAGCAATCTTCCAAATGTTGGATCCCCTTATGATGCCACGTTTCCAGAATCTTGTTATTGAGAGTCATGGGTATGAGTTCATTTAGTCTCAGAGGTGACTTTGGTGAGTCTCACACCACATTTCAATCAAATGCCTTAAAATAGGGTTGTCTGTCTTCTTGGATATAATCCTGGGGTTCCATTTATAAATAAAATCGCTGAACACTTTTTCTTTCAGGGGGTGCAATCCCATTTGTATCCAGGATGGGGCACCGTCGCCCTCAAAAAAGGCTGAAACAAATCGCATTTGAGCCGCCAAATAATACTTGTTAAAACATGGTAATCGAAGGCCCCCTGATCTGTAATCCCACGTTCATCTCTCCATAGATACCCTGGCCACCTTACAGTTCCATATAAACTGTCTAACATGCTTATTGAGGGTTTTAAAAACAGTTTGAGGCAGTTGAATGGGTAAGGACCGGAAAAGATACTGTTAGTATATTCCTTTTCACACAGTTAACTCTGCCAATTAG